CACTTACTCCTATATAGATTATTAGAGTTAGAAAAAGAGAATCTATACTGGCTTGCTTTTAAAAAGTTGGAAAACCTTGAAACAAAGAGGAGAGTGGTATTAGGGGCCAGGATTAAAGTGAAAAACACACAGAAAAACAAGAAAAAGTCACTCCTCCCCTCCAAATGGGAATATTTTGTTTTGAATGATTCATGAAAGCAATTTCAGTAACTCAGAAAAAGAACACATTTAACTGACTCCTTTCAAATATATTCCAAAACAATACCATGTTGATTAAATAACATGTGTCCAAATGAAGAGAGTGTTATGTCCTTAAATGCAAAAAAAAATGCCCATTACAAAAGGAAAGGCACAAGAATTAATTATTCAAGTTTTTAGATGAATTCAAAATCAATGTTTCACATAGTCAATGAATATTAAACTTGAAAACAAGCACTCTAGGTAATTTGTATGTAAAGACAGGTGTGAAACACTTGGACTGTAAGTAATTATGTGTATGTATATATTAATGAAGCACTTTCAATCTGTGCTAAGGGCAGGTGTCATTTAATACTGGACCAACACCAGTTAAATGACATTGTGATGTCTTTGTGGAAATGACATATTCACAAACCCATGTCTCAGCACTGATATTTATGTAGCTAGTTCTCTTCCCTTAATGGTTTTTAGCAGTTCAGTTTATTCAAAAACAGAAATTTAAGATGCTTTTAATAATTTCTATATGGCAATAGAGGAGATTTTCCTTTGAAATAATTTTCCCCAGTGGAATCGGCTCTGTAAACGAATGAGTAAATACAAAGTGGTGCACAGATCAAATGGATTTTATAGTCCTTGATTTTTTTCCTTAAGGAAGAACAATGTAGCCTTCTTTCTATACCTGTGCTGCTGAAACTTTTGGGGCTGATACAGATGCACTGAGGCTAAACCTAAAATTAAATCATCTTTATTGCTAAAAGTCATTTGACAGTGTTAGGTACAGAACGTCAGCATTACTGACAAAAAGGGCTGAAAGCTTGATACATATAATTTGGGAATTGCTGATTATAGTCACAAACTGTTTCTGTTTCATGTGAGTTTAAACAGAAAGGAGGGTCTTGCACTTCACGAACAGGCTATGATAAACAGGCTATACTGACTTGCGCTACAATGTTTAAATGACTGTAATGTGATTCAGCGTGGCTGATGTTACATTTGTGTCATGTAATTTAGCTTCCACTTCTTTCTTCAAGGTCCTCAGAGTAACAGGGTTTGGAGATAACTTTCAACCACTGCCAGGTCTAGGTGTTGCTGTTTCAAGAAAGGAAATATTAAATATTTGCATATTATTTAGGTAATTGTTATACGCATTCTGTAAAACAACAACAACAACAACAACAAAAACTTTACCCCAATGCTCACATCCCTCCATAGTTCTTAATATCAAGTATACACTACTTACAGCTTCCAGCATAATTTTGTTTTGCAGCTTGGCCATTTCTTGTCTAACTTCGCTTTGCTCATCAGTAAGAAGAAGTTCATGATCCTTGTCTAACTCCTCCATACTCTAAAACAAAAAGCCTAGTTCAGTGATGAAGCACCACTTTTCATCTCACGTTCTAAACACGTACCATTAAATTTCAAAAGTAACAAGTCCTAATACTCAAAGGATACTCATTATTTATTCCAAATAAAAACATTACAACAAATCATGGAGATCAAAATACCCACTTAAGAAATCTAAATGTCGTTTTTGAGTCAAATATGATTATTATAGCGGTACAACAGAAGTACCCTTTGCTCAAAACTGTTAACAAACACTTAAGGTCACGGTGGAGCAAAAAAAGAAAAAAGAGAATGACAGTCCCACAGAATGAAATACCACAACTTAAAAACTCTCTCATAAGCTGTCTAAACACCAGGTAACAATGCACTTATAATAATCAATGTAACATGGTTCTGCTCGAGAGAATAAAATGATCTGTGATGTGACCTCATTAAGCTATGAAAAACAAACCTACGTTTTAAATATTTATTACTCATTCAACAAATGGTGATCTAGTACATCCAATCTGAATAGTAGTCTTCCAGGGCCGAGGGAGGGGGAGTTTCCAGGCCTACCTGGGTTTTTTAATTTTTTAAATTAGAGATTAAAAACATCAAACACAAACACTTTATAGCAATTAAGGAAACACAACTTGCCAAATCCATGTAATGGAAAATAAGATTGATTCTGATTTAGTTGGCAGAAAGAATAAGATTTCACTAGGTAAAGGAAAGAGAGAATTAAACGTAATCTAGGGCAGGAGCATAAGCAAAGCCAGGAGGTAATGGTGACTTAGTGCAGAGAAAGCAACTACTCTGGAGGGGTGGGAGGAAAAAAAGAATGTAAGTATGAAACTACAAAGAGAGGGTTTTGTTATGGGGGACACGTTGAATACCTGAGGATTTAAACTTGGGCAGCTAATGACAGGTTTTCAGGAGGGAAGGGATACCTGTTGGAAGATCATGTTGCAGAACTGCGAAGGATGGATTGGAGAAGACAGAAATCAGGAAACAGTGTAACAGTACAAGCAAGGAATGGTGAGGTCCTGAACCAGGGCAGCAGCAGCGGGAATTCAAAGAAAGAAATTAAACAGATACAAACTACTACACCTAAAGTAAATAAGCAAGAAGGATTTACTGTATGACACAGGGAACTACATTCAATGCCTTGTAGTAAGCTGTAATGGGAAATAGTCTGGAAAAGTATAGATATATATATAACTGAATCACTTTGCTGTACACCTGAAACTAACACAATACTGTAAATCAACTATACTTCAATAAAAAAAAAAAGGAAGAAAGAAACTAAAGTACAGTTGCAGAGGTGAAAATTGCAGGGCCTAGTAATTGCTGGGTGGGAAGGACAAGGGACTTGGAGGAGCCAAAGACAACACTAACGTTACTACCATAAGTGCTGGCCTTTAGTAATAACCTTTAGAAGCAATCTTCTTGGGTACTTTATCAGATCTGCACACCAATCAGTAAACGGTTCTCAGGGAGCATTAGAGCAACATCTTGTCTACTTAGATATGCCTTTAAAATAACTCCTTTGTAGACATATGATTCTAAAGTTCTTTAAAGAATATCTATTTTAAAAGCCTTTTGCTAGTTTACCTAAACCATCTCAATTAAAGAGAGTGACATTAACATCATGTTTTTGAATAAGATTATCATTAGAAAAGAACACTTCCCAGCCCTGCCCACCACCAAAAAAGAAGGGTAATGTGCAGGATTCCATCTATTCCTAGATAAGCATACACAGTACACACATATCTGCGGGGAGAAAAGGGCAATGTGCTAATGTGCAAATATCTCGGCAGATCATTCTCAACCCACAAACATTAAGTCTTCCTCTGGGTTTTTCATTCAGTTGTACACTTAGGCCTCATATGATTATAAGTTTATATAGAAGGTCATTATTAGTCACATATTCTAAAAGCAGATATGGCATAAACACTCATATAATACATCTGAAAATAGAAGAGTTATTCATTAATTACAATTGCCTGCTTCATATTTAGCAGTAACTGTTAACATAAGACAAGCAAAAGACATCTAGGAATGATTTATAAACTTCCTACTTTCCACTATATATTTGTTGCTGATCTCTTAAAAACTGATTGTTGAACAATAAGGTTATGATTAAACTGTAAATAAAGTATCAGTTTTCTTCATGCTACATATATGCTTAGATAAAATTCCCAGTTCACAGTTTCCTGTTTTAACTGACTCCCCCAAAACTATTAGTGAATCCTAAAACCAAGAACACATTTACTAATTTTGTTAAATCCAGAACAATGAATTCAAAGTGTAAAACGGTTAACAATTTAACAGAACAACCTAAACGTTCATTTCCCATACATATGGAAAGAAACATACTATCTTCTACTTTTACACACAGATTATTTTTATAAGAATCTAGTGTGTTACCAAACAAAACAGACCTTTAAGAACTGCTCATATAAATTCTTCATTTTTTTCAGTCTCTGGTACTGAACAATTCTAGCTTGTCGAAGAATCTTTCGTTGCTCTCGAAACATGTTCTACAAATACAACAGAATAGGAAAGTGATAAAATGTGGGTAACATTTAATATTTGGAGAGCATAATTATACATTACATTTAAAAGGAACACTCTTTAACTCAATGCTTGTTAGCATTTCCCGTTTTAACAACTTTTATGACCAAGTTTAGATAATTGTGCTTACTACTTCTCTACAAAACCATATCATAATCCTATCTTAACAGTCATTGAGTAGGAGAATTTCTTTCTTACCAATCATGAAAACATGTTTTGATTCTTGATTTCAAAACTCACAAATGACCCTTCCAATAATGTGTTTACCACAGGTAGGCAAACGCCACCTAATGATCCTTCCAATCAGTAATTACAGAGGACCATTCTTTCTTAACAATACTCAAAACATGTATTACTTCTTGATCATTTCAATGTGCACACAGATGGCCCTTCCAATAATGCTAGCCTTTCTGCCCTTTGACCTCATCTCCAACAATAATCTTGACCTCTTCCCTACATTAGCCCCTCACTAGTCATTACACAGTCATACCCTGGATTCTGTCTTTCCCAGTAACTGCAACATCTACATGATCTTAACAAGAGCAAACACTTACATGGGAACTATTCGTCAGGTACTTTCCCAAACCATTTAAAATAAACTTCTTATATATGATCTCATTTAAAACTCAAAACAGCAATTCTCCAATGAAGACATAATGTACGACCGATAGGCACATGCAAAAATGCTCAAGATCACTAATTATCAGAGAAATGCACGTCAAAACTACAATGAGGTATCACCTCACACCAGTCAGAATGGCCACCATTCAAAAGTCCACAAATGAGAAATACTGGAGAGGCTGTGGAGAAAACGGAACGCTCCTACACTGTTGGTGGGAATGCAGGTTGGTGCAGCCACTGTGGAAAACAGCATGGAGATTCCTCGAAAGACTAAAAATAGACTTATTGGATGACCCAGCAATCCCACTCCTGGGCATATATCCAGAGGGAACCTT